TAATAATAGCTGAGATGTAATGGAATGCTTGTGAGTGCATAGAGTAAGGTGTTAAATAATAGAACAATGATGACATGATTATTGAGAGTACGACGAAGAACAGGATCAAATAGTAGATGGTATAAAACGAATATACAGCAGAGGATTGATAAAAGAAACGTAAAGAAAAATAGCCAAAATCGAACGGAGAAAGAAATTGAGAGATCAACAAGTTCATAAGGGTGATGATCTATCATTGTCAAAAGTTTTTGTCTTAACCTGATATCCTCTAGAAATAAAGAAAACACATAAATAAAAGTAACTTAATACAGAATTCAGGATGTGGGTATGGATGGGATAGATATGATACATCCACACTTTCGTCTAATGGAACAAAAAAATTTTAAAACTTGCAGAGAAAAATAAAATGAGATGAACTTTATTTTTCGTGGACCCTTTCTTCTTATATCTGAATATTTAAAAACGTTTAGAACAATGTTAATTTAGCTTTTATTCTTTCGGTAATCAATGTTTTGTATAGCCAACGTTGCTTGAAGATTGCATACCACAGTACTCTGTTGAGCTTGTCTTAAACGTGCCATGCCTAAAGTTTCTGGAGCAACAGTTTGTGTTCTTCCACGCCAACAAGAAAATAATTTTTTGAATTGGAATTTTCTTTTCGGTAATGACATGGCACTTATAAAAGGAAAGAAGCATATGACATAATATGAAAAAAACTGTGCTTCCAATTGAAAATCGGCACCGAAATCTTCGGATACGCTACATTGTTGCATAAGTTCGACGAACATGGGTGGAATATAAAGAACAAAATAAAGGATCGATATAGATAACAGTTGAATTGTCATTTTTCGATGCTTTTTCCATTGAAGTTGTTGATGCATGCGATGTTTTTGTAATAGAACACGTATAAGAAGAGCAATGCTAAATAAAATAATAGCTAGAGTAGGTAATATATTATTTGTTATAGTATCCCATAACGCAACAAATCTCAGTTCATAATAACAAAGAGGGCGACCACATAAAGGTAAATTGTACTGGAATATATTCACACATGGCGGGAATAGAATTGTGACTGCATGAAATATAAAACAATAAGTAAATATTGCAACTAAAGGAAGATAATGAATAAAAAAACGTTTCTCTCTTGTTGACATCCACTTATTATGAAAAATAAGAATGTATCGTTCGATTGAAGCCCATGCAACCAGTATTAATGCAAATGTGAAGATCCCGCCATCAAGAAACATCCAGACCAAACATAAGTTCGGCACAGCTGGTATGACAGTGCCCAAATAATAATAGCTGAGATGTAATGGAATGCTTGTGAGTGCATAGAGTAA